ATATCCAGAACTGAATTAATTTTAATGATTTACTTTAACTAAAAAAAAAAAGTTAATATTTTGAATCCCTCTTGTGGACTGGTAAAGGGTTAGATTTATAAAAAAAAAACCCAGCACAGGAGGGTCACGGCACAGTGGTGACGTGGCATAGTTGAATCAAGTATAATGATATCTGACAGTGATTAAAATCACTATAAAAAAAAAACGCTTCGATGCAAATCTTTAGATAGTGTTTAATTTTAAAAAATTGGTGGATTATTCCAAAAGCTTCATAAACTGCTAGTTCCTTATTAATATCCTGATTAAGACAAAGTATGTAGAATAAAAAAGAGATTATTAGAAAATAGTATTTCCCATAAAAAAATTATATTGATCAATACACTTTTCAATAAGTTATAGCATTATAATGTTAAAAATGTAAAAAATAAAATTGAGAATTTTCACACAATAATAGCATTTGGTAGCCATTTTCACCTTGAAGATAAAATAAAGTCCGAAATTTTTTTTTTCCATGATAAAGTATATTACATTAGCTTTAATTTAAGATATATATAAAAGTGTCAGACTTTCCGGAACACTTTCAAAATTTAAGTTGAAAAAGTCAATTTTTTGTGAAAAAGTTGTCATTTTGAATCCCCCCCTGTAGGCAGGTAAAAAGTCAGATTTATAAAAAAAATATACCAAATGATAGGTAAAGACATCATGCATCTACAAAAAAAAGAATTATATTGATCCATACATCTTTCAAAAAGTTATAGCATTATAAAGTTAAAAATATAAAAAAGAATTTTTTTACAAAAATCGTATTTTTTTTATTAAGTTTAATGTCTGTTTTCACCATGAAGATAAAATAAAGTCCGAAATTTTTTTTTACCATTATAAAGTATATTACATTAGCTTTAATTTAAGATATATATAAAAGTGTCAGACCTTCCGGAACACTTTCAAAAGTTAAGTTGAAAAAGTTCTACTTTCTATATGCATTTTTTATATTTGAAGCCCCCCCCATATATAAATCCAGAAGTCAAATTTTTTTTTTTTCAAATTAAAGTATATTACAATAGCTTTAATTTAAGATATATATAAAATTGTCAGTCTTTCTGCAACATTTTAAAAAGTTAAGTTGAAAAAGTTAATTTTTTGTAAAAAAGTTACCATTTTGAAACCCTTCCTGTAGGCTTTTAAGGGTCAACTTTACAAAAAAAATATACCAAATGATAAGTATAGACATCAAGCATCTATAAAAAAAAAAATTATATTCATATGTTCATTTTTGAAAATGTTACGGCAGTTTTTAATAAAAGAAATTGAAAAAATTTCGAAAATTAGCGATTTTTAAATTTGTAATTTTTTTGGAGGTTTACCCCATTTACGGGTATCGAGGGAACTTTTTTCAATTTTTGAGGGTAATTTCTTTGACTAGATATGATTTGTGATCTATTGACATATTGTTCATTAAAATCAGTCCAGCGAGAGCTGAGATTGAGCGTTCACAGACACAAAAAAAATAATAAAAAAAAAAACACATCTTAGTAAAATTAATATCTTCTCAGCTTCGCATCGAAGCTAAAAAAACTAGTGCAATTATTTTTGAAATAAAACATACATTTTTTTTCTTCGTCTTATTTTTCCTCGCCTTTATTTCAAATACTTGGAATCAGCCACCCTTAATCCTAACCTAAACTTCCACTTTATGTAATCTCTCACATCATCTATGCATAAATCATCAATTCTTATGTGATATTAGAATTGATATAATACGATATATTATTGAATGTGATATTCAATAACATCCCTCCATCTTTTTTTGATCTTCCTCTACAACATCTTACCACAATATTCATTTCTAAAACTGTTCTAACAACTTCCGATTCTTCTCTCCTCATAACATGACCAAATCATCTAAGTCAATTTTCTCTCATCTTATTCACAGTTGACGCTACACCTATACTTCTTATTATATGTTCGTTCCTTATGATATCTTCTTTAGTCACTCCATTCATTCATCTAAGCATTCTCATTTTTGCTACTTTCATTTTCTGCTCTATTATCTATAATTTTTTTCAAGTTTTAACTTTAACTAAAGACTCAACTAGATATGATTTGTTAATTTTTAACGTATAGTTGAATGAAATCGATCTAGCGAAAGATGAGAAATAGTGGCGACAGACAAAAAAAACACATTGTAGTAAATTTAATACCTTCTTAACTTCACATCATAAAAAGATAATCACTAGTTAGGATAGATCAATTAAAAAAACTAAGGTTACTATTAGGTACGAGGTTTTTTTAAGTTGCAAACTTAATTTTATTTAAATAAATAATACAACATGTTCAACTTCACAATAAAGCTGAAATATCTTAATTAAGTACATTATTAGTAATATCATATTTTCAACTAGGATAATTTAGTATAAACTAAGGTATATATATTTTCGCCTAATTTGGTTGGTAATTTAAGTCAGTTAGATATACAATAAGACTTTACAATAAGAAATTTTTAAAAAGAAGAAATACAAAAACAATTTAGTAATACTTAACAGGAAAAAGTAGTATCAATTTATCAAACGTTAAATTACACTCAATTCTAGAAAAATAAATAAAGCTTACTATAAAAGTAAAGTTAATCTTATTGTATTTATTTTTTTTTTGCTACTTGAATCTTTTTTACTAATATATATATATATAATGCTAATGTAATATAATTTCTATATCTATTGATAACACAGGTAAACAAAAAAAATTGTTTTTTTTTGTGTTTATATATTAATGATAAATTTTTGTTTCCATTAAATCTATAAAATTGAAACGACCATTATTTTTTAAAAATTATTGATTTTATAATTTTTAAAAAATTTAATAATTACATAAGATTGTGTCATAGATTATCTGTTTGTATGCTACATAATCTCCAAATATATTTAATATATTACATGAAATATATATAATGTAGGGAAAAAAGTAATTGATTCTATATTGGCGAATTTTAAAAATTGTTATTAGTTTTAATTTAATGAAGGAAATTTAGTATTTTTTTATTTGTGAATAAAATGCTACAAATTCCATATAACTAAACAGATACTACATTATTTTGTTAACCATAATGTATTTAAAACCCGGACTTAAATTTTTAGTTGACCAGTGTGTATAATCATTTCTTAACACAATGTTTTATGAAATTTCATTATATTTGTAATTATGCGTACTTAAATTTTTATTTAAAATTAAAATAAAACTGTATACATCCAAGAATTGTAAAAATATTGAATGGGATTTAATTTATCTTAAAATTTATAGAGTATTAAAGATCTTAATTAATTTAATAAACCTTAAATTATGTAACAATAAAATATACTTAGTAAAAAAAATTGTTTTATATTTTATACCTCTACTCGTGTTATTAAGCAATACACGCTATAAAATTTAATACAACATAGGTTAGAAAAAAAAAAAGTGAAGTATTTTCCATACATTGCAACATTAAAATCACTGAATTAAATTAAGGTTCCTTATTAATTTACAAAAACAATTCAAAACAGTGTATCTTTCATTAACTAGCGTAATTGATAATTATATTTTGTGAATTTTTCAAGAATTCTTAAGTTTTTCTAACGCAGGAGTGGACTGAAAGGCTAACAGCTCAGAAGGCACAATAATTGTGGTGGCCCACATCGCTTCATAAAATATTTTTATCACTCCATTAAAGAAAAAATATAAGCAAATAGAAGGTCTAAAATCAGTTTTACAAACCGAATTACGGTATGGCTTTCATTGTTCTATCTATAGACAGCGCCCCAGGAGTAATTGGCACCTTGTTCCTGTGAGCAGTCCACCTCTGTTATAGTGGTTGTACTAATTTTAATCAAATTAATTGAATGGCTTTATACAAAAGTAACCATCTTAAATTTAGAATTTTACATCATGACGTACTTTAATTAGTTCATGCATTCATAGATATAATTATTAAGATAGTTTTTAAAACATAATTGTTTATGTTAGTGATTTATAATCGAATATTAATTTATTTTTATTATGCAAAATGTATAATAAAACATTTTTAATTTATTGTTCTATGGTGGATTTTTGGATTCAATAATGTCCAAATAGGACATTATAATTTTAGTCTTTCAATATTTTGTGTGAAATATTATTAAATCTTAACAAATTAATTTTAAACAATTATAACTACAAAATTATGTTATACATAAATAACAAATCTTAAATTTAGTAACAAAAACAAATAACCAAATCAATTCTAAATATTTCAACAAAAACAATAATAAACTTCAAAAAAATTAGGTAATTAATGGACCTTTTAATAAATTAACAATGAAAACCTTAACATTAATATTAAACCTAGCATTAATATTAATTTATTGTCATGTCAGCCTTGAGATAGCTTTCATTAGTTATCTCACCTTAAATTCTACTTATATTAGATAAATTTATACTTACATTAATTAGTTAAAATTTTAATTCACAAAAAAATTAATTTTTAATATTTGTGATCTAAACTTAATCAATTCAATAAGTCCATCGTTAAAATAATATAAAAACTACTCAATCAAAACCAAATTATTTTAATTCTAATATCTATACTAATTTTTAACTTATATTATAAAATTACATAATTATGAAATTTCAAACAGAGTTCTTTTTTATCGTTAGTTGATAGAGGTGTGACACACATAAAGTACAAGTATTATTGTTATAACTATTTTAATTGACATAATATTTAAATTAATTCTTAAATATAATATTGAAAAAAAAAAATTAAAAGTATATTTTTCATTAACTCTATAAAACCAATTATTTTTAAATGTATTTTTTTCATTTACCACAAAGTAAATCCTATAATATCAGTTAAGTATTAACAATAAAGAATACAACTAGGGCATAAGTTGATATAGTTCACAAAAAAGTTAACTAGACCAGTCATTTAGATGACTGTAGCTAGCTTATCCATATCACAGTAGGACGAATTTTGAAAAGGCATTCATTACATTTAAGAATGAGATTTAGAAAAATCATTTTATGGTTACCTATGTTAATTATTCTATTTTCGATCCAAAAATATTTGTTGAAAATTAAATCGTATAATCGATAAATAACTTATATTGAAAATTTACTATATTTAAATATCAGTCAAAATCATTTAGTAAGTACACTAAATGTCTTTTTTGAAAAAATAAAATAAAGTGTCATGAAATTATTATATTAATTAGTATTAATTTTTTTCTTAAAATTTTAACAAAATGATTAGACTGTTTTGAACGGTGATTCATTCCCCAATACTAATGGAACTTTTTTGAAGTTAGAACTTTAATAACATACTAATGCTTAAAAAAATTCCTATACTTTATTTAGCCATCAAAAATTGATAAAACGAAATCGTTTTATTTATAATGAACCCTGATGACCCCCGAGCTCATTGTGGAGGATTCATAATTAACATTGCAATAAAAAAATTTTGCACTACAACTTAAATGGTTATTGTAAAATTCTACTGTTTTGAATATTTATAGTGAATAAAACTGTCAAATTGTAATAGATTAAACTTATACACAAGAATAGATAATCAATATTATAAATACTCACTTCAATTCAGAAATAAGTAAGCACATCAAGTACATTCTGACGATGAAAAAGTTTGAAAGTATCTTAAAAGAGTACTAACACATCATCTGAAGTTAAGGTACGCTACGCAAAATAATATCATATAAGTGTCCTAATTCCTAAATGCGAGTTTATTAAATAATCGAATTATTTTAATCTAATTGAGACAAGGAAAAAGTTCTAACAATGCACATTATGATTTATTGCTTGAAATATATAATATGTATAGTTTTCACAAAATATGTAATATAGGGTTTTTTATGGTACCGGCGCAAAAGGGTTCGTTGATGCAGGTTTTGCTAGAAATGGGTTTGTAGGATTTTCAGTAAGCGCAGCGGGCTCGATTTCGGTACTCCTAGCTTTAAGATGCGTATTTTCATAGCCTAGATTGGTTTGTTCAACTGAACCGTAAGTTGGGAGCTTTTTCTTCTCTATATTCATCTAATTAAAAAAAAAGTTTAAAAAGATATTGTTTGAATCAAAACTGACGTTAAGTTTATTTAGTATCAGCTAACCTCGTTCATTTGTTGTTCTTCTTCGACTTTGGGTTCTGCCCATGATTGAAGTTCACCAGACGCAAAAAATCCATAAAATACAACTCCAACATAATGAATCATAGCTGACAAAATAAATACTTCAGCCCAACTATTTTTTGTCTACAAAATCAAAAAATATTACAGTACCATTGTGTAAATATGTGTTTGAAAAAATATTGCTTACCTTGTGAATTATAATGAGATTTATAGTTATTGGGCATAAGAGACCAGCTATAGTACCAATACCGTTTGATATACCCATTAATATACTAGCGTATTTTGGAGCAATGTCCAAATGATTAACATTGAATCCTGATGGTTATTAAAAAAATGAAATTGCAAAACTCTTAATTAATTTTGATTAGAAATGAACGCTACTATTTGTAACATTTACCTGATATAGCGAAGCCACTAAATGCAACACCACAAGTCATGGCGATCATAGCTGTTAATGCAGTGTCGGCAGTAGCTAACATAAGGAAGAAAGTGGCTTCCATGCCAAATCCTCCGCAGTTAAAAATTTTCCTAACTGCTGTTGTCGATAGAATGCCATTTCTACGAAGATGGTCGGCTAACAAACCTCCTAATGGTACTACTATCGTCATAACAAGATGAGGCAAAGCTCCAATGTAGCCAGCCTAAAAGTATAAAGTTATTAAAAATAGTTAAGATATATTTTATAGATAAAATAGCTATATTATTCTTACTTCTGATACTTCAAAATTAAATGTATGAAGATAGGAAGATTGGAATAATACTAATAAATAAAAGTTCCAAGAGCGGCAAAAATTTGCTACTATGATAGCATAAACAGGCATCGAATGAAAAATTTCTTTCCATGGTGTATTCGTTAACGTTGGAGGTGGCGACTGCTTAACAGCTCCTAATGATTTCTCTATATAATTTAATTCTTTAGCACTTATAGTTGGATGAAGACAAGGTTTTTCAAAGGCTAACCACAGCCAAAAAGCGTACCATATCATACCCATCACGCCTAGTAAAAATTAAACATTAAAATATTTATAGTAATCTTAAAAAAATCGAAAATTTATTACCATAAGCAAAAAATGGAGCTTCCCAGCTGAACCAATCGATTAACGTCCCTGAAAGTGGCATACCGACTACCACTCCTGCGTAGGATCCGCACAAAGCTATAGTAGCTAGTCTAGATCTTTCTAGAGGAGGAGCCCAATATCTCATGATACCATGGCAAGCGGGATATGTTACTCCCTAAAATATTCACAATAATTAAAAAAAAATGAAAGGATAACAAGAATATTAAAATACCTCAACCAATCCTTGAAGTGTTCGTATAAAAATAACGTAGGACGATTTATGAACTTCAGTCGCCGCAGGTATTAATAAGTTGAGCATTGACGACATCACAACAGCCATTCCAAATACTCTGTAAGTATAATATAGAGTGGTTACTATATGAGGATAAACTATGCTAAAATATAATCTATTACTTGTTAGCCGGATATTTAGAAGCAAGAAAACCACCAGGAATTTGAGTTATTAAATAGCCACAGAAAAACGACGTCTCGATTGCGATAAATGACCCTAGTGACCAATTAATCTATTCAAAGTGAAATAAATAATCATATAAATATAAAATATCAAAATACTGCTCAAAAGTGTACTCGATATACGCACCGGTGTTTCGTGTATGGTCATATGCTTCGGTAAAGGAGTCTGTATTGTTGTTGTAGTCGTATTATTTATTTGACTTGATGTATCATCCTATAAATAAGAAATATCGTATAGATTACAGTTTTTCTGCTATAAAGTTATTATATATTTTTTATATTATAAACAAGTATTCGCAAGTTAATGGAAATTAATTTATGTACATTTTATAAACAACACAAATTAAAAAATACGTGAAAATCATTTTGTTTTTTAGATTTAGAATATTTATTTTTCTTCTAAAAGCATTCAAATTTCAGTATTTAGATTGTGAACGTATTAATAGACGTTTTAGTTATTCTCGATTTGAAATATTAAGTTTTATCTTTGTACTGAGTTCAAAGAAAGTTAAACATAAGCAACATTTTCTAAGTTCGTGTCACGTCCGATAAAGCGGTAATATAGTTCTGTACATGTATACGAGTAACTAAGTGTAATAGAGAGAGCATTCCGATGTAAATACAGTATGTCTCGATATATGAACGGCATAACCCTCATGTATATTTCACACGCTGTTATGAATTTCATTTTGTACCCCCGCAAAAACAGTCAATATTTCAACCCAATCGAAATATGGTGAGGAGAGGGTGGACAAACACAAAATGCAATTGCTTTTGTCGTCACCAACGTCATCGGACACACGCACCGCATTACTTGCCAAAAAAGGGGGACGAACGTTTCAACCGGATTCACGGTACATTAAGCAACTGAAGCGGCATCACACCCGTGAAAACTCAAAAAGCTCAAGCGTATTGTCCACCGTATGACCATCAACGTGATACGAGACAATCGTCTAAAAAAGAAAAAAACTCGCTTATCGGTCCCTGCACTTTTTTTGAAATACTCGTCCGTTTTTTCTGTCGATTTTTCTGGTTAACAGTCTCTCTTATTTGAAGTCGACCGTCTTTCTTAAGCTGAACTACGACACAAAACTAAAATAAAACTTTTTTTATATATTACTCACGTCAGAATCTATATGGAATTTTAATTTTGCCATAGACATGTTGCATCGCATCCCAAATGTAATCATAAATCCTATTTATACAAAAATATACATATATAATGATTGTTTGATATAGATTCAACATATTATAACTTACTATGTAATTACTTACCGATGCATGTTAATACAGCTATTGTATAACGTTTACTCAGGTTTGGAATTTCTGGTGCAATATAACGGTCAATATGCCTAAGTGGAGGTCGGACAGGTGATGGTAGTGATTCGGTAGGACTTTGAAGACCTGGTCGGCCATCAGCATCTCCAGAGTAATCTTCTTTATAACTAAAATGATTTCATTTTTGAAAAATAAAATTGACTAAAACTAATAATTATTTAGAAAATATATATTTTAACTCACGGAATGGAAGACTTTTCTAAATGTGATTTGTTGAATTCAAATTCATCATATTGGTGTTGATTTGGCCTAAAAATAATATAAGAATAATAAATGAGTACAAAATAAATTTATAGTCGTTTCAACTATATGATTTAGTTTTTATAACTAAATAATTACGCTGTCACTATATTAATCATAATTTCGATTGACCCAATTATATAGTTTTTCCTTGTAAAGTCAAGAAAAATATATTTATTTTTTGGAACATAGTTAATTTTGAATAATTTAACTGATTAAAATGAAGTGAAATCGTATAGTTAGATTATGTCAGATAATGACTATTCTTATTTAAATACAATGTTTAATGAAATATGTATAAACGAAAAGTCAGTTATATATAAGTAAATGATAATTTACTTTCTTAAAAGTCTAAAAATACAAATACATTTTCCTTAACGCTAAATAATTATACGCTATTTCGAGAAGTTGAATTAAAAGTTGAGATTCCTTATATTTTATTCATTTTGTTTTAATTGTGTTTGCAATACGTCATAATAGCTAATTTAGGTTTGAATTTGTTTTCAACTGAATAAATAATACGGGAATAGAAATATACGTAGTTTCAGAACCAAAAATACAAAAGTATCAGATAAAATGATTCAAAAAGTTTTGTTTCATTTATTTGGAAATTCTCCGAATAAAAGTCTTTCAAATAAAACTTTTGTAATACATTTTTTTTTATTGTTTTCGATTAAACATAGTTTTTATTTTAAATTGTATGTGTGTTTAATATATTTCCATCCATTCCATTTAATCTACGTTGTTTCAAATTAATTAAAATAATTTTTGTGACAAAGTATATGATATAGTATTTATCGATTTTTTTAATTTAAATATGTTTTATCCCGTCAAGGTCGCAAATATTATGATGTGCAATTGGATTTATACGTTAAGTCGTGAAGCAAACATGAAGTCACAAGGTGTTGTCATGTCATCTGCATTCCACAAGTCTGGAGTACCTATCTTAGAAGCACTCAACGTCGTGGGCAGACAGACAACTCATTTCCAAGTGATTAATACTTGATAGGGAGAAGTTTCGCACACAATAACCGTGGCAATTCAATTAATTTCCAAACACCTTGGCTCCGCCAGATTTATTCTTTTCAACAATACTATGGAAAAACTTGTGTAGTGCCATCACACGCGATACGTCTTATAAATTCTTAACGTAAAATGTATTTATTTACTTATTTTACAGCGATTAAATAACTGATAATGACTAGCTTAAAGCTGAGTAACTCTTTATAGAGTAATTGATATAATAACATTATGATACAGTTTTTAAACTATTTTAGATATAAATCTTAATTTTACGTAAAATAAAATTGTTGAAATATTTGGGAGAGGTTAACAACCAAAAAACTGATAGGAAAGTAAATTTTTATCTGCCTAAAATTCGCACCCTAAACATTGGGGACAGGTAAGTAAATAATCGAAATCCAATCCGTATGGTGGCGAGATTCTGTTGAAATGTGACACTCGACCAAAGACAGCTTGATTGATGATCTATCGTTGAAACCGTTTGGATTTATGACTTTTGCTTTGCTCGAATACACACCTTCTCCACAAAAAGTTGAACCATACGAACGGCGTTCAAAACACAATGACGACGTCTGTCACGTCATCTAATCTAAACCACCACCGGTCACCGCCGACGACCAGCCGATTTCTCTTTATTATCCCTTGAGGTGCCTTTCACCCTCCAATAATTCAGTTCTTAGAAAATGGAACCTACGTGTCACCGGACCGTCATTCATCAGAAATGGAGACCGCGCGTAAACAAACAGTACTACAGCTAATATTTATTGCGGAGTATAAATCATTGTTGATATGTACCAACCCTAGTAAAGAGCTTTTAAATGAACTTCTAAGTATATTTTATCCTAAACGTGTCATGCGGTTTGTTATAATCTTCAATTTAACTATGAAAAATTAATACTCTTTCGCTACAGTCAACTTAACATTCGTGACGCATGTCGCTAATATTCAATTAAAATAGACTATACACGCCGGCGTATCAAATTGTTAGATTTTATTTATTTTTTTTTTTTATTGTAAAGTTACAAGCTCATTATAGATTGTAAGAATAACAATAATATACACACTGTCTGTGGGTAATATGAAAAATTCACTGTCACATCATTGTAAAACCGCTAACAATCTGTGCGATGTTCCACCCCTGTCCCAGGTGGCCGACTAAATCACCCATGGGAATATCTCTATGCTGTTCAAAAGGCGTGGAAACATCATTGTACGAAAGAGAGCTTATAATATAGTATCCTCTTACACGGAGATTCGTTCTTTTATTACCTTTCCAGTTTTTCAAGTACCTCATACCACTCGAAAAATTTGATACCTCTTGATACTATAAAATTAGTACAAAACGTTTGATATTTAACAATGCGCACGTGTTCCAGTTAGATTTTACACGGGGATTATACCTACAAAATCTGCAATTTAAAACAAAACCGAACAATCATGAGTGCCGGTTAACGATGATGTTAGGCAGTTAATGAAACCATTGACATAATTAATGAATGCGAGTAGTAAATTCATATTATATTATACATAAATTTTATAATATAAATAATAAAAGTAAGTGAACAATATGCAAATATTTTATACAAAATCATAATCAATGGAACCAAACCAAAAGCTTTAAACTGCATTAGTATAATTTATTTTGAGTTTAGAAATATACACTTTCATTTGATATTTTGTTAAGAAATAAAAATGTTGTTCATATAAGAAGAGTGAGAATAGTTTTTTTTTTAACTCTTCACAACTACACGTGTTAATATATGCAAAATAAATATATTTAGTTGAGTTTTAAAGTTAAAAAAAAACCCATTAATGCCATTGATAAAGAATGTTTAATAATTATGTATTATAAGTTAAAATAAAATATTACCTTTTGTGAAAATTTTGAAGACCGAAAATCTTAAAAATTGTCTAAATAACTAATTAGCTACATCACAAATATAAATTTCATACTCTAAAATATCTTAATGTAAATTTTCCAATGTAATAGTTTACGGTTATTAGTTATTGCTATATTACACCCCTAATTTTATTGAACTTATATACATGTAAATTAATAATACTCCAACCACACGACTGCATCGAATACAGTCACCGTCAAACTCACTTCAAACGATATCAATTTGACTCGGTAATTTGTGAAAAGCAAACATACACAAAACATTATAAGAGAGGGGTGGTGTCCCTTTGCAGAACGGCAGTTTATTAAATCTTTGGAGTTTATTGACTGAACGCTGGCGGTGAGTGACAGCCGCCGTTCAAGGGATGTTGCCGAATATTAATACGAGCGACGGTATAGCAACACAAAAGGAAACCTCGATAATACTCTCTTATATTGGTTTCACCAGTCTCCGAGTTCATAAAAACTAAAAAGAATATTGCAATAAAAAGGTGTATTCAGTTTATGCTCGACGAACAAAGTTAAAAATGAACAAACATAGGAGTTCATATTAAATTAAAGTGTTTCCGAAGTAATTCTAAATATCAGAAAAATTTATTGTAATATGAGAGTTTAGAAGACAGCAAATTATCTTTATTGTCATCTCTTCAATTTTTCATAATAAAGATACAAAAGATTTAAATTTATTAAAATAAAAAACGAACACTTATTTACAATAAAATGAAAGCTGTTAAATATTGCAACCACATAAATTTTTAAAAGGTTTAAATGAACCTATGAGTGTTATGTCTTACAAATAATAAAATAGATAAAACACTGAAAAATTCTCCAAAAATAATATTAATTCATATAATTTAAGTCAAATTGCTAATTTTTTGTATAAAATTTTGTTTATAGTATTTCTATATATACGCTTTAAAATGTAAATATAAAATGACAGAAAATTTTTTTATGTATAGCGCATTTAACATAAAAATTTGTTATAAAAATATATTTAAATTAAAATTAAATGAATTTTATATCGTAATTTAATTATTGATAATCAAAATTGACTCTATTTTTGAATAAATTTATTAAAATATAATCATAGTATTGAATTTATTAAATCGATTTAGTCATAAAAATATTAAAAAAAGTCATTAAATGAATTTCTTTGGTTGACCGACCACTAATCAAATAATGGAAAACGAGATCGGAAATGGTAGTGATTAATGAGGAAAGAAAATAAGGACAGTTTTTGTTAAAGTTGAAAATTCTTGGCCTTGACACAAAAGACATATTCTTGGTCTTGGTCAATTGGAAAAAACTCGCAAATCTTTTCAAAGAATACTATTGTCACAGATTTTATATAAAAGGATTTATGTCTCTGAGACTGCTGTGAGTTCGTTACTCTTTGTTTGGAGACCATGAAAGATAAAATCTTTCTATTAAGTTTTATCTGATGCACAAAACTATCATACTTATAACATGAACATTTTAAATGATGTAATAATTATTTATGATATTATCGAGAATCCTTTGTTTTCAGAACATTTTTGTACTTACAAGAAAACAAGATATCTAAATTTAAAAATATATTATGTGCACTGGTAATCTAGTCAGTACAACTCACAAAATCAATGATGTTCACTGAAGTTTACTAAGAGTTAAACATTTTAAATTCATACTATGTACTAATATGCGATACTCGTGAAAAAATCACTAAGCAAATCCAATGTTACCGCAAATTTCCTATTAATTGTAAGAAAGCGCGTCTACAAGATGCTCAATCTTCGGTCTTTTCAAACGTTTGGGGATTATAAGCGTCAAATAATGTCCTTCTTTTTTGTTGCTATGAGATTATATATGTCAATGATTTCCCTAGGGAGTACCATCGCGTCGTCGATGATAATTGATTTCGCTTTTCGGCTCATTTATTTCCATGAGAACATACTTCCGCACACAATTACTATAATCATAATTTACTGAAGAATAACAAACAATATTTCAATGAAATTTTTTTTTTATTGCATATAGTTTATGTAATATAATATTTAGCTCAGTTAATTTGTAAAATGTAACTTACAATAAATATTATAATTTTTTTTATTTGTACAGTTAAATAACTAAAATTAACTCTGAATTTAATTTCATTAAATTTTCTCAACGAATTAAGATACACACTATTGTATCACGAACAGTAAGACATAACCCAAAAAGCAACGTTTTTACCATTCATGTTTACTGTCATCAGGCTAAGGAATTGTTATCCAGCTCATCGGCTACATTGAGGGTAAGTTATTATTATGTCGTCGAGCCCATTAGCGTGATTAATTTTCTGTTGTTACAGTTGATGTAGGGAAACGTTTACGCATTTATCATGCATTGTTTGAATGCATTTATAGTATGTAGAAGCAAAATTGTTCAATTGATTTGGTAAATGTAAAAACTAGCATTTAAAACATTGAAAAGTGAAAGTTATTTTTATAAAAGTATTTACTTTTTGATCAGATGATAGGTTAGGATAGGAACACACATTTGAATTTAATGAATATTGATATTAGAAAAAATAAAATAAAATTCAACATAACTATTCATACAGGATCTTAAGTTTCATTGCTGATAAAATTCTGAATATTGAATAATTATGTAGTTCTTTACGTTTATTCCGAAATATAAATATATTTTTGTGATATTCTCTTAACAAAATAAGTCACTTCGATGGCTTTATTTAAAACATTTATATTCATTATTTTATTTAAACATCAAATCGACATCTGTCGTCTCACAATTGATTGTTTACTTAATTACATGTAAGTATAAGTGAAATAATCTTCAAAAATTGTATACTATTGAATTTATGAAATGTTTAATTTGCGTTACTATACAGGGTGGCGCTGCATTCACTTAAATGTAAATAACTTTTGATCCAGTTAATGTTTTTTTTATTAATAGTCAATATACTTGATGGTTATAGTAATCATTTAATTAATAATTAATATATTTAATTTTTAAAATGTATGAAAAATTTCAAATTAGCCATAATTTAGAATATATTTAAAAAATAATTTGGTTAAAAAAATTCTCATTGATATTTGGTAGTTAATTTTCTGTAACATTTTAAATTTTGTAAAAATTTGAATTTTTCTGTATTAATTCTACGGTATTAAACGCTGACTACCTTATATAAAAAAACGGTAATTGAAAAGCAAAATTCTAACTCAAATATAATTACAGAAATATGCAAAAAAAATCATAGGCATAGATTTTTACTGAATCGACAAACGTTCGTCGCATTAGTTTTTTTAATAAAATTAGCAATTTAAGCTGATTCAAATGTTAATATAAATTTTTTTGACTTCAAAGAAAAAAAAATTGAAATAAGTTTAACATTATATTCTATGTCAATTAGATTTATATAATATTGAGTAAAATCAGTGTACCCCTTATAAGGTATTTTAAAATAATTTAAAATACAATACCAAGAATTTTAACACAAAAATAGCATGCTTTTTAACTGCGTCAACCATTTGCACATAGTAGATAAGTCGTCGGGAGAAATTTTTTTTTCAACATTTAGTACATAACATAATCTTTATTTTCACATATGTTTGAAGTTCGGAGTATTTCCATAACATTTTCAAAACTTAAGTTGAAAAAGTTAAATTTTTGTGCAGAAGTGCAATATTGAATTCCCTCCTGTGGGCAAGTAAAAGGTCAGATTTTTAAAAAAATTATTAAAAATGAAAGGAAAATATCTAAGGTTTCAATATAAAAAAGAATTATTTTGATTTGTTCATTTTTCAATAAGTTATGGCGATTAAAAAAAAAAAGTCGAAATTTACCGATTTTAAAAATTATAAAATTGAGTGCATTTTCAGTATTTATGGAAAACGAGGGCATCATTTTTAATTTTTGAGGGTAATGTATTTAATGAGATACGATTTGTGATCTTTTGACATATCGTTGAGAAAAATCGGTCCAGTAAGAGCTGAGAAAAGTAGTGACAGACATAAAAAAATAAACACATTATGTAAAATTAATACCTTCTCAGCTTCGCATCGAAACTAAAAAGAATAGAAGTAAATACCATCTTTTCATACTAAATATGATATGAGTATGGATTTTTCCATGAAAATTATTAACGTTCCAATGACTGGCTTTAGTTCAAATAAAAACACGAACAATACTTATTATTTAAGAAGTATTTTATCTCATTAGAGATAAAACTACTTATCTTACTTTTCTTCTGTCCTTGTGTCGACACGTATTTCAATGTTTAATACCGTAAAATAACACATTAAAATTCAAATTTTCACAAACTTTAAATTATGCAGACTATTTAATATTGAATACTAATAAGATATTTTTTTAACAAAAATTTTTTTTTTTAAATCTTCTCTAAAAAATAGTTATTTTGGATTTTTTTTACATTTTATTAAAAATTGAAAAATAATTAATATTTAAAACAATGTAAAAATATAAATTATTGAGATATAATTATAGACCTAACGTATAACTTCTATTAAAAAAAAAAAAAATCAGTAAAAAATATTAACTAGATCAAAAGTTATTTAAGTTGTCAGTGAATGCTGGGCCACTTTGTATATCGCTTTACAATTAAAAATACTGTAAATTATAATATTTTATATCATTTTAATATCGATTAATAGTATATACAATTTCATTTAATTATAAATTATTTGCTTGTTTAAGATTTATACTAAAAATTATTATAGTTATAACAAGACAAAAAATATACATATTTTTGGTAAGCTGATTTCATTCAATTGTGTATCAAACGATTTTGTTTTTATTTGTATAAAATAAGGCATGGACAAAAAGAAAATATTGAATTAGACCGACGAATGTGCGTAGGGGAGAAAAAAAGCACTGTGATTCATCCATCTTATAGTATGGTGATCACGTTCTTTTTCCAAAAATAAGCCACTTAAGCCACAATCGTAATATACTTTTCTTTGTATTTTTTTTTATTTTTACGTGTTTTATGAAAATCGGATTTGTTTCATACAACTTTATTTACAAAACGTAATTATAATATCTACATGTCATTAATGATTATGCGAAAAAACTTTTGTAAATCGAAAAAATTATTGAAATCATTATTATAAATGATTCTTGTATGTATGTGTTACTTACAATTCAATTTTGATATTTATTTTTATTTATTTGCACTGTTTAGTGAAACATATCAACTTTAATGATAAATTAATGTTGATTTATTATAACAAATTAATTATCTATTAAAAAATGAGTCCTCGAAATAATCGGTTAAGTACATGTTAATAAATCGAATAATTCATTACACCTATTAGTAATCCAATAATAATTATTTGAACAAGATGTGGTCGCTAGTTCTAATATTCATTGTGACTATTACATATATTTTATTTTTTTCTCCTATTCGTTTTCGAAACAACAGTGGACCGTTTTTCATTTTTTACAAATTACCAGGACCTTTATATCCCTTAAAGTATATATTCTATTATTTATTTTTTACTAGTGTTAAAGTAAGTAATGAAATATTATTTAATTGAACCACTTTAATTACATTTACATTTTTGTGTTTATTTAGAGTCTTTTACAATATTTCGATTACCATACAAAGCACGGAAAAACTTATGAAAATGATGGACCACATAAGTTAGGAGACACTCTCGTAAATCAGAAATAGTTTTTGAACTATTGCGAGAACTGTAATTATATTTTTTTAGGGTTATGATGCAACTTGGTTTGGTGGTACCAATTCTGATGGCCAATGGATTTTGTTTTCTATTGATCGGAGAAGTGATCATAAAATGTCCTTAGGATATGTCTGTCTGAAAGTAAACATAAACTGAATAATTAATTTTCTAATAAGTAGTCGTCGAATTAAATGTATTTTAATACATGATTAGGTATAAAACGCGGACGGAGAAAACGTACATTAGTACCTATCTTACATACCTACTCAATGTACTAAAACCTTGTAACTTAATTAGTTCTTGGTCTAAAATTGTTATCGATCCATCAAAATGTTTGTAAAATAGCTATTTTGAATTTAATAATAAATTATTATTTTTTCTTGTTTATAATTAATAATAAATGTATACTTTAAATTTAATCAAAGAAGACTTAATTAGTTTTTAAAAAATGTTCAAAAAAAAAAATTAAATAATTGCATCAATAGTTATAAGCGCTGACAATTAGGTTTGAGACAAATTGTAATGTACATAGATTCCTGGAATCGGATTTATGGCAACTTCCGTATTAGAAGATACTTTAGTTAAGAGCAAACATAATTTTACTTTGGATAAATCCGATGCAACTATGAATATTCCTTTGCGAAGTTGGACATTTCAATTTGAAGGAGAAATGGTGTAAGGTCAAAGCTTTCAAACAATAACAAAATCTCAATTTAGGTACATTATTTTTAATCATCATTTTTTTTTATTTTGAATCAGTTTTGTTGACAACCCAACAAAAAGCACCTATGTAATAATCAATGGTCAATGGCAAAGCACAAATGAAGTTTGGTTACTCAATCGAGATTGGAGTAGTGAGTTATTTGCTGAATCATTTGCTCTAGAAAAATTCAACACATTTGTGAAAGCAATTTTAAAAAAGTATGCACATTTTATGTTTTACTAATTTTATTTAATTCAATAAATCAAAATAAAATTGATCAATTACAGATCAAAGACAAACGAAGTTGTTCATTGGGAACAGATTGGAAAAATAAATGCTGAGGTAAATATCCATGGAACGACAGTCGAAATTAAAAATATCATGGCACTTAAAGATAGAAGCTTTGGTGCAGTAAGAGATTATTCATTGATTCACAGATATGTTATGTTTATGATGTTTTTAAATAATGGTCAATGTGTTGTGTTTTGTGCTGTTTGTAGCAAAACTTCTCTATCACGGTAGTAAATTACATTCAACTATTTAGATACTGAATTATCTAATATCCACTAATAATTTAAGCCTATTTTATGGATATATGAGTAATGAAAATGGTAGAAACATTAATATTGACTGGAGTGATTTTAATATGTACCAAACTGGAGAGAATGGTAGGACTCCCGAAGAAATAAATTTTATAATAAGAATTGGTAAACGTTTAAAATATAATAATTATTATCAATCAATAATTATAATCCAATTAAATTTTTAGATAATCAGTTTCACTCGATTGAAATCAAATGTACAAATCAAAGATGGTTTTCAATTGAAAAAGAAAATATAACAAGAAATGAACAGTTTGCACAGTGTCTCTTTGACGATATACCAGGAAAATGTTTTATTCAATGGCAATATAGCAAAGAATCGTTAAGAAAAACAAAACTTAATAACTTTGATTTTGAAAGTCAGGATAGTAAAAAATAAAATTTATAATTTAACAGATTTAACAGATTTACTCTTGTATTGAAATTATTAAGTACATGAATATATTTCACACAAAATTAACTATTTTTGTACACTATTCTAATTTATCACAGTCTAAGAATTAAAATTGTTGTTTTTTTTTATGAATATTAATAGACACTTTTTAGTCATATATGAAAGTCAGTAATTTAAAAATAATTGTTTAAAAAAATTAATTTTTGAGCTATATTAACATTTGTCACTAGATATAGTAATTAAAAATAATTTTAGGCTATTAAAATTGAGAACAGAATTATAATCATAATGGTTGCTATTTTTTTTTTTTTAATTATTTGTTAAAGAAAACTATTTAGTGTTACGGAATTAAGTTATAGTTGTTTGTTTTCTCTGTTCTTGAGACAGTTGACAAAGACTTTTCGGTAGTGATAATCATTATAAAGGAGTTGGGGTAAACGCGACATCATTCTTCATTATGATGATCACAGTGGTGCAGATACATGATATGCTGCAAATTCTCATCAGACTAATTGTGCGGCGCGGCCGGCACGGCGCCTTATTCTACGATAGTATGAGTAGTGTGATTAATGCTCTTAAAATAATTTGCATTAAAACTATTTGTAAAAAGTTCGATGATATCAATCATTGTCGTCGGGATTATAATTAAATTGATAAAACAAAGTATAATAAAATAACATAGACGGCGTTATAAAATAAAGAAAAAAAATCTCCAGTAGAAAATATCATCATGTCAAGACCTCGTTATTTCAATTTTAGCACGTGATGTGCTGATATTCTCATGCATATTAACAACAATCTAACGCACGTTAGCAGTAGTCCCGAAACTATAGGAGGTCGTCTAATTTAAAGGAGGAAACACAAAAGGGTGAGTACATATATTCTTTGACCACATAGTATGCTGCTTAATTAAAATTAAATTTCAAACGTATCAAGTTAACAGTGATCGATATACTTATTTTATTCGTATTATTTGACTAAGAACTAATGATATTTAATTATTAGAAATAAAAATGAAAAATGTATACTAGTATAGTTTTAACAACACGCATTTTTTAATAAATTGGTAATATTAGTACTTCTCAAAGATTTTCTCTGAAAATATTTATACTATTCTTTTTAAAACAAAATTCATATTTATACTGAATTACTATGTATGATATGTATAATATTTTAGTACATCGATACAGATTTTGGCTTATTTTATGAAAAGGAAATAAAAATGTAGTCAATCGAAGGGCAATTCCTGTGGGGTTGTAAACCTAACCCTCCTTTTGTTACATACTGTTTAGGCTTAGTAAATTATTTACTACGACCCAATGTACTATAAACGACCTAGAACTATCAAACGAATCTACTTAAATACTTTTATAATGTTTTTGATTTTATTTCACAGTGTAGCAACAATCACATTTATTTTTTAATATGTAAATAAATTTAAATAATAAATAGATACATTCTATTAATTAACGTTTAATTTGTAATACACCATTATCGATCAAACATATTTTTAAAGGTTGCAGAAAAAACCAAGAGGCCAGAAAACTATTCAAAATAAACCGCCACCTAGCTGAAAGCCTCGGACCACACCCAGAAAATAAAATTAAACTTATTAAATTTATAAAATCTATAGATTTATTAAAAAAATGTAAAAATAGTTTTAAATTATACAATAGTAGATTATTAATTTTCATATAGATCTATTTACTTATATAATAACACTTGAGTAAAAAAATTGTTGCTAATGGCCATTGTTGTCAAAACATTTAATAATAAAAAAATAAATACATTTTTAATAAATGTAGTAATTTTTTAGTCATTTTTAGTAATTTTTTCAACCTTAAACCAATTAATTATATTGCATAATTGATTAATGATTTGATTAAATAAAACAATTATAGTTCATTTTATATAATTTTTTCAATTTTGAAAGTTATAAAAGTTCTCTAAAAAATCAATCATTTCTAATAAGGATTTCTAATCTATTTCTATGAAAGATTGAAAAATAAATTATATACGTTAATATAAAAGTAATATTTCCAGCAATTTTACGAGTTATTATTAATTACGTTAAGTCGAGTTTGTTATAGTATTAAATAGGCGCGGAAACTGATGATTGGATTAGAAGCTCATCATTTCAATTTTTATAAAGCTTCCCATTACACTATCCCTTCAGCATGAAAGAGATTTTTAGTTTTTCAATGCTTTGTCCTCCTCTCAATTTCATTAGAGTTCTCTTTTACCCTGTTTCCACTACTAACTCTTTAGCCAGTAAATGTTTCATAACCTCATTTACATTCATGTTACCCGCCTACCACAGTTAAAGCATTTGCCGCCGTCCCGCCTTTCAAACAAAGCACTCTTTTTAACTCAATTTGCCGCAACCGTCACCACTGTGTTTTCACTTACGTCTATAGTTTTATTATGTTTTAAGGGTAAAGCCTGGTATGCATTAATCGATGGCTAGATATATTCATTGTTGATATTTATTTACGTCAATTAGTTTTAGAAGAATTAAGTTTAATTTTTGCTAAAAATCCTACCCATGAACTTAAAATTTAGTCATAGCTATAGAAAAAACCAAATTCAGCTTTAAAAAAATTAAAAGTATGATACAATTTGATATATATCTTCATGTCTTCTGATACATCATTAAAAAAATTATTTTTTTTTTATAAAAAAATAATAATTTATAAAATATAAGCAAACTATAGACAAATATAAAATCTGTGTTTATTTAAAATAACACATTTTTAAATGAAATTATCATAACAAAATTAAAAAAATGAATAAAAACGTTAGAAAAATATTATTAACAGTAAATAATAGAAAAAATTATTAGTGAACGCCATTGCACATTATCGATTTCTGGAGCTTACGTGATTATAATTATATAGCCAAGGATTATAAATATTTAATTTCAATGTACAAATAAAATTACTTATATTGAATGTTTATAATTTAGTTAAACTGAATTATTTAATTAAGTAAATATAGAGTATTTACAACTGAGAAATAGTCAAGCCGTATGATTAGATCGATAGCCTATTAAAAATTAATTTGCATATATATTATTAATAACTAAACGTAAATCAAAAAATATGGGATTACAAAATTTGTTAGTCTTCGCAATATTTGATAAAGTTAGTTCAAAAGCCAAATATCAACGTAAGCGCTATTACCCATTGGGCGACAAACGTCCACCTCTCCTATGTTATACATTTTAATTAAAAGCTTGACTCAAACATATTATTATTTGTACCGGAACCTAAGCATAATTTATATAAATGAACAATTCATTTTATGAATAATTAGGATAAACGTTAAAAATTAGTTTATGATTATAGAATAATAAGTATAATGATAAAATTTTAAATTTTGATATTTTTTTGAAACTTGAAATTTAGAGAATTATTTGAAACAAAAAATATTTTACATAAAATGTAGATCAATTGACTTATCAGTTTTTTGTTTCCCCATTTCCTAATATACATTAAAAAGTAGTGTAATTATTTTTCAAGTAAAGTTTTGTCATTTATGATATAGTAAAGCGCCGGACCGAGTTCCATTACATTTGTGATAAAGAGGGTTGTAAGGGTATCGTCATGATCCACTTCACACCCCTGTAAACCGATTTGCAAGATTAAATGGATACGCGCTCTTCTACTAGCCGCCGATCACCCTTCCCTGACAATGGTTTTAAAGTCGTCGACCATAAAGCTGGTTGACGACTATGTTTGTCACGAGGTTTATGATGCGAAAGACCCGCATGTAGCCATGTATTATTATATAAATTAAACGTCTTCACACTGTAAACGCAATCTTTACTGCTTACGGCTGACTTTTTCATGTCGCAATACTCGAATTATATTTGTCTCGATTTCACGTAAGCGTATTTCGTTTGGAAAATAATAAAGGGGTTAGTAAAAAGCAATTATTGTTCGATATTCGATCTGGAAAGAGGCGATATAGAAGTTCTCTGTACATACACATCAACGGGCACGAGGCAATATTCGAATTGTCTCGACGTCTCCTATCGTCGAGATGATAGGAGACGCAAGAGGAAAAGCGGAAAATGCCACGAAGTGTGTAAACACGAGATTTCTGCCCCTAATCTACCCTTTTTGCCGGGTAAACACGGCCTCCGATCTTTAATATCGGACTACTTAGACTCCCATAGTCGCCTATCAAGGGTGTAATTGTCCTGTCGATCAACAAAATATCCATCATAAGTCGGCCAACTGTAAATAGATACCAACTGTCCGAATATATTGTATAGTTTTCTTTTATAACTACGAGTTATACAGATTATAAAGACACTTGTCCAAAACTTTTCATAGCGTTATGTATCGCTATTCAGTTTTTATGATAAATGTTCTATCTGTCTTATAACTATCATTTTTTAACAAAAAGATAATCTATTATGATAAGTTTCTTGTTTCATAAAGAAAAATCGTCATTAGTCGTTGTACCTATTGTAAAATCATATGACAATTCTACTGTAGTTTTCAAGAATTTAAATTTAAATTTAATAAGAATACTAAATATTTAGTTAAAATAGTCCAAAAAATCTTAAAATAATATTTTAATTTTATACTTAAAAATTAAAAACAGTTAATTATAAGTATAAAAAATCAATTTTTTATTTCTTCGGGTAGTTTAGTCATCAATTTCCTACTTTAACGTGAGTTCAAAACGTACAAACCTAATTAAACGGTTGATGTACTTCATTGTTCCATATTTCACTTGCATTAAAATGTATAGTGCGTTTATGAAGAAAAAAATCAGTATGGTTTCGTGGTAGTTTGTGTCGGTAAAAAAAGGGTCCTTAAATATTTTCCCTCATCATCGTCACACGTCGTGGCTTTTCCTCTGCACCGTCATCGTTTCACACGCATACATACAAACTCACAATAACTCCGTCGCTCTTACTTTATACTTGCTGCAGGGCCTGACCATTAGCGATGCACGCGTAATCCCATTCATTCCGTCAGATTATATCTAATTCCGGTTTAATTCGATTCATCGACGACGGTTTTCCCCTGCACACTGTTTATTACGACGTCGAGGCGCCTATTATATTCCATGGACGTGGAACACTGCCTCCGGACCGAGCAAAAATGGTTTACTCTTAGTTTTTTCTTTCAAAACGTATAAGAAGGATAATATTTTAGTTTTTCGAGACATATTTAGTAGAAATAATCATAACATCAACAATGACGTTTTTACGCTGGGGAATCGTATCGATCCAAGGATTTGGACTGA